AAAAATGTGGATGTGACATGATGTTATCTTGCATAACTATTCATAAGTAATCATATGAATATTCATTAAATGAATATACATACTAGGGAGATATATATTTCACCCTTGTTTCCACCCAAATGTCATTCCTCAATGATCATCATGTTTTTTTACATAATAAAGGTACACCTTGTTAATTTTCTCCAGCCTGTTGGTTGATTCACTTTAGTATTTCCCCAGCAGCACCAGTGTCGAGGCACAAACTCCACCTCTTTTATACTTGTGTTATCACATCTATTCCTTTTCTTTCCCTTGAAACTGATGGTAATGATCGTTAGTCAAGAAATCATACGTATTCTTGAATTTTTAGTTAACAGACAAAGCAAATAATTAGTGTTGGCGAATACATTTCCCACTCTTTGGATTACTAAAACATACAGGAAAAAATAGTTGAAATCCATCTCCAATTAAAGACATTTTTCATTGTGTTTGTTATGCAATAGCTTACATTGAATAAGATGTGTATTTTATTTATTTATATATCAAATTTGTCACTGCCCGTCTTGTTAAAAAGTGACTCTGGGCAGTATAACACATAAGACTATGTCAGCAGTTTCATTCCTTCCAAAAGGCAGGATAAATAAACATGTGCTTATGATTGAACTTCCCTAACCAATATTTAAAGCAATGTGTGTCACTGGGTTAATTTTGAAGTTCAGTTTCTATAAATGCAGAGCTCATGTATAAGACACTGGGCTTTGGCATCTGCAGCAGCATCTAGGTCCTCTAGATTCCATGCTGCATCTTCTGCCAGGAGCCAAGCAGGGAGAAATTTCTGACTCAACTATTGCCTTTTTAATTATTTCTCTGCAGCTATGCAAATTACAGTCAAGCTGCATATTGTATCAGATATGGAAAGTATCCAATTTTGGGGGTGCTGATATTCTGGGCTGCACAACCATTATGAAACAATATTGTAAATGCTAGGTTCTGATCTTGGTTAGGGTCAACATTTTGATCTCTCCTTTAGTCAAGAAATCATAGTCATAGTTATCATCATCATCATCTACTAATCCCCTACGCGGGTATGAAGAACTTTCTATAGTTCCTGATGGAAATATGTAATTGTGGCTTTTGCACGATTACCTCACTGCACGACTGTCATTTTAGTGCTGGGCATGTTGTACAAGAGATGTATATAAGTCAAGCACATCTTCCTGGTTTCACTGAGTGTAGTTTATGTAGCTGGGAAAGTTATATGTCTAGGCTTCCATCTTCACCCCTAATGTTAAACAGTATTTCTAACGTAATGCAAGTAATCTAGCAACAGATATTTTCATCTTCAGTCTTTTTGCTCAGCCCATCGGAATCCAAAATATTGGAAGATACCCTGTCATGCCAACTTGTCTACTGATGGCACCTCATTTCATTTTCAGCTCTTGGATCAGAATCACAGAGCTATGTGGAATTTATGTATCACATTTGATCCATAATTGGCTCTTTAAATGGATTAAATAAGAGGCTTCATGGCACCCAGCAATAGATAAAGAATACATTGTTTCTTAATAATATGGTCCAGTTATTCCCAATTCTATTCTGCAACAGGGCAGAAAAACATTTAATTTCTTTCACATTTGGCTTGAGAAAATGGGGTTGAGTTGCATGGTAGCATTTGAGAGTAATTATAAATATAACAACTTCCAAAACAACTTTTGGAATAGTTTAGAGTATGCTGAGGGCAATATACAGAGACATTTCCTGTTGTGGAAAATTATGGAATGGCACAAGAGAAGGGATTCTCATTTTTAAAAACATTCAGTGTAAGTGCAAACATCTTATGTATTTATATGGTGAAAATCATTCCATAAAGAGAAGACAGTGACTAGTAAAAGAAACTGAAGCACTCTGGGGGTACATGTTTCTGTTTCCATATTATTTTATTCATAAAGGACAAGTCTGGATTCAGCCCAATATTTATATAACTACCACAGTGTAGTCTTCAAACCTTTCTTCAGTGCACAAAGCCATTAATCCTATAAAGTTGATACTGAACATAATTAAGTCTCATATAGCATTGTCCTAATTAAAAAAATACAGCTAAGAGACCTTAGCCTTGTGGTTTGAAAGATTTGGTTTTGGTTTAGAAATAAAATGAAGGTATTAGATAAAATTAGATGAAAGCTAATTTTGTCTATGTTTCACATTTCCATACCTTAGTGATTTTTTTTTTAAATTGTCTGTCTTGATGGATGCATAGTTAAAATGTCTTAAGACACTTCTATAAATTACAGAAGATCCTATGTTCTAGGTTAGATTTCAGATTGTATTAATAAATGAATGGCTGAACCTGATAAGCCTTATATGATGCTTTTCATGAATTGAGCTCACACTAAAATATATCTTGAATAGTTCTGGAAATAGAATATCTGTGAATTTCATAAAAAGCATGAACACCATTAGTTATTTTAAAAGAGAAGCTTAAGTTCAATTTTGGCTTCTAGCTTAACTATTAATATGTAAACTTAGAAAGGAGAACTATCTATGGTTTTACTGTTACATTGAAATATTTGAAATTCTCACATAACTAGAAATTTTCAATATTATAAATATTTTATTAGAATAAAAAAAATTACATACAGATAGCCATAGGATATACACACACAGCTAATAGTTGAAAGAAAATTAGATAAAACTTTTCAATATGAAACTAGTATATTCTAAACATCTCATGGAGACAATAGCGTTAGAAGGTAAATTCAGTAAATTGATCATGAAAATGGTAGTAATAGGAACATGGTGTAGAATTTTCTTGCAACATGAATGGTAAATTTACCACTCAGTGGATGAACATGTGTTATGTATTATGCAAAGGAACTTTATTCCCATTGAAAGACAAGTGTTTGGAAGCATCAGTAGTTCCCATGTTCCATGTTGAGGAACAAATAGCTACAGTATTCATATTTTACTATTTACATTATATACAGACACTAAAAGGAAAAGTTGTCAAAGTTGTAGTCATGATTTTTTGTTTTGTTTTGAAAACCTAATAAAATATAGAGCAATGTTTGAATTTTTACAGATCTTGTTCAAGAGTCTACTTCAGTGTTCAGTAGAAAGGTCAGAAAAAGTGAATCCATACAAATTGTATGAGGGGTGAAAATTATTTTTAGAAGCATCGCAATTGTAAACAAGGTATGCCAAAGAGAGATTTTTATGTATTATTTGCAATGAAAACATTGGTCAAAAACAAAAACAACTTGTTTATATAAATAAGAAAGCAGCAGTGAATCTATCATCCAGAATAATTCCAAACAATGGGGTAGAAAAATTGCAATTCGACCTACATCCAAAGACACTATGAACTGGCATATAGAACAGCAACAAATTTAGGGCTGCATATTCAAACACATCACATAGGATGTTATTTCCTGGCTATAAGGCTCTGGTGCAATGCACTGGAAGTGTGATGTTCTATTCTGGGCACTTTATCTGTTTCTAAAAAAATACAAACCAAAATACTGACAGAAATACGATGTAAAGCGAAAAGAACAAGAAAAGCTATAGCAGCTTACAAAAAGGGATGTGCAAGCTTAGGTAAAAATAAGTTAAGTACAGATCCTTTAGAGCAGTGTTGTGGGCCAATAACAAGC